TCTCCTCCTCCTTGTCTTCCTCCCACCTTCCCTCCCTCCCTCCTCCCTCTTCGCAAGTTCGACTCCGTCCTGTCGTCGCTCTTTGGCATGCGGTTAGCGTTGCGTATCTTGCGGCCGCACTCGCACTGTCTCACACTGTCTCACACTGTCTCACACTGTCTCACACTGTCTCACACTGTCTCACACTGTCTCTCAACTGTCTCTCAACTGTCTCTCAACTGTCTCTCATCTGTCTCTCCTCTGTCTCTCCTCTGTCTCTCCTCTGTCTCTCCTCTCTCTCTCCTCTCTCTCTCCTCTCTGTCGGAGCGCTAGCTTTCGCCCCCCCCCTTGGCCTCAAGCATCACGAAAACGATCTTCGAAGGAGGTCAATTGAAATTCTAGTTTATATATATATATAAATGGATTAAAATCCAAGAATTATAAACGATCCTCTTCCGCCTCTTCCATTTCATACCTTGTTTTAACGAAATACGATATTATAAATATGATCTTTAGGAAATTTTAAAATATATATTATTATTTTTAATTTTGTTATTTGCTTCTTAAATATATATTTAATTTATATAATTATGAATTAATATATTCTTGAATATATTTATTTATATTCTATTTTATATTTATGGAATAATACATTTATTTGTCGTTTTGTATTTACCGCTTTATATTTATGGATTTTTGATTTATAATTAATCGAAATTAAAAAATATATATTTTATTTGTTGAAATATTTTTATTATAAGAAATGGGATTGAAATGATATATTAAATTATTTTGGAATAATTTTTTTTATTTTTTATTTTATATATATTTTATACTTTATGGAATGAGGAATTCGTTTTTTTTATGGAATAGGATATGCGATATTTATGTGATATTCGGGATTTTGATTTATATTTATATTTTATGAAAACAATATAAATATTTCGATTATATTTATATTTTTAATATAAATTTAATTATTTATATATGTATTATAGTTAATATTATATATTTTATATTTTTAATATTAGTATAAAATCGAATAATAGAAATATATAAATATAATTTGGTTAGATTAAATATTTATTTTTTTTTAAAAAAAACAATATTTTTTTGTTAACGAATATATTTTTTATTTTAATGATTTTATATTTGATATTCGATTTTTATATTAGTGAAAAGAATTCGAAATAATTGAAATATTTTATAAATTCTAAATTTGGGATTATTTTTTGATATATATATTTTTTAAAAAAAAATAATTATTTTTTTAAAATCATTTTTTTATTGTTATTGATATATATTAATTATTTGGAAATATTATATATTATTATTTAAATATATACATAATTTAATTTAAAAAAAAAATATTAATGCCAAGGGCGCTTACTACGATGCGATTGAGTTTACGGGATGAATTTGGCAGAACCTCCACTTGGTTTATTTTGTCGATGTGTCGCAGGCTCCTCGCTGGGAGGCTCATTTCGAATTCATAATTGAGGATAGGAATATGATTTGCATACCACTCGTCCTGAGAGAAGAAAAGCCCGCTGGCAGTACTTTGTAGGAACTTGTGGAATTATGGTATTTATAAGCCTCCTTTTCGTCTCGGTTTCGCTGGCTCCACTACCACAATCTTTTTGCAAATCAATCGATTTCTAGCCCTTGGCATTCGTTTTAAGATCTTTGTAAGTTGGAATCGACAGATTGTTTAGTTGCCGTGCTTCATGTACGATCAGGGTTACACGGTTCGATGGATTGAATATCAGGTCGTTGCTGCAATTTTGCACCGAGGCGAGGAATCGCATTGTGGGCATTATCAATGCATTCTTCGAACAGGAGGTGGTCGATTCCTGACGAACGACGCTTGAAGCCCGATTTCAATTCCACACCTTTCAGAAATGGACCAGGATGTTTACTTGATTTGGCTGACCAAAGCCATTGCCTTGACAGATGCATACCGTAGGATTGTTGAGAAGAGTTCCAACCCGTTCGTGCCACTTTTTTCGAGCCGGTAAGACCATGCCACTTGTCTGCACATGCCGCCCGGGTAGCTGTCTTCGAGATAGCCGACCGTTGTTCGGTTGCCAACCCAACACGGGCGGATTCGCTCCGCCGGCCACGAATGAATGAATTTGGAACAATTTTTATTACATAATTAAATAAATTTATGTATTGATATTTAATTTTATTTAGATATTCATATTTAATTTTAAAATTTAATCGATAAACCTTTATAATTAGGTTTATTATATAATTTTAAATTTGGATGATATTAACAAATATTTTATTTTAAATTGATTTATATTAGTATTTCTATATTTGATTGTATTTATATATACCTAAATATTTTATACTTATAATTATTATATGAATTAATTTGTTAAAAAATGATATTTTTTATTTTTTTATCTTCAAAAATTATTGCTAATTATTCGGGGATTTGGTTGGGGTTAATCGCTATGAATAGAGAGAATATCATTTATTAGGAATAGGAGGGCAGAGAGCGATACATTTTTGCTTGCTGTTATTTAGGAAATAATTCTATAATAGACGAGATTTGTTAATATTAATATTATTAAATATAGACTATTTCTTTGAAACAAATATATTAATATAATATTTGCACTTTCTTTATATTAGATGCAACAATACAATGTATTTTGTCGTTCCGGCTTGACAAATTTAAATAGAAATAATCACGGAATTGATATATTTATATTTTTAAATATATATGCTTAAATTTTTCTTTAGGATTTCGAAATATAGATTTTATATTAATAGAAATTATTAAATTTTACGAATTTTGGAATTTTATTTCAATTGTCTATTTATTTCGATATTTCGATTTTTCCAAATATTATATACAATATATGATTTTATCGATAAATGAAATAAACATGATGAATTTCCTCGATGATTTTTGAAAATCTATCAATTTGAGAAATGAATAGGATATTGTAATATTGATCGCCAATTTGAAAAATATATAGCATATAACATATAGGATATTAAGAAATATAATCTTGATATTGATCGCATAAATCCTCGCGTGCGATTATGCCATAATTTTGGATTTATCGATTTAATTCTTACTCGAATCGTAAGCTTCAAAATTGTAATAAGCGGCATCATGAACATTTACAGGCTTCTACAGAAGATGCTGGACGACGTTATTATTTGGATAATGCAAAATTGGTATATCGTCCTATTTACAACTATTTATCCCGATGCCAAGATATGATTGTGCAATACAGCAGAGCAGTCGTGCACCAAATATGCCTAAGATATCGCAAATGCCGCGGAAATAGAAAAGGAATAAATAGAATCTTTTAATATAATTAGGATGCTCAACGAAAGCCATCCACAAAAACGAGCCGCGAGACAAGAGACTTGGAGCGCCCAACATTACAAATATCCAATAATGGAGAGATTTGGTTTGCAGCATGACGTGGAGGTGGCGATTCTTTAAGACACAAAAATTTTTATGGGCATTCGTAATGGGGAGCAAGCAAGGTCACCGAGCAGAGTGTGCAGGAGCGGTGCCGCGGACAATTCAATTCAACGATGAACCTATTCCCTAGACAAGGATTTAAAATATAGGTTCTATTGGATCGCACCTCCGACTTATTCATTGATACATAAAAGGGGACGATGGAGATTTTCTCCGAATCTATGGATGGATTGACAATGCACCACCTTCTGCAGATTTTGTTGAATATCATATGATCCTTGCAGAAATTGTTGCTAAATATTGCTAAGGTCGGAACACCAGATATTGGTTGAATATAATCTTTGTTGCAATAAAAAATTAGGGATCACCCCAATAGTTCTTCCATCTATATGACCTTTTAATTAAAATATATACGGATATTTTTTTCTATATATATAATTCATATTCTAACTATTCTATCGATCTTTGCCTCGCTACCACCTTTGTCCTATTCCTTTTCCAACCTATAAATCTTCTATGTCCATATCCTTCGTCCATAATACCCCGATATTAGAAATAACGGATCAATTCGAATATACAATATATAATAACTACTATTTCTTTAGC